TGTAACCGACAGTTTTCCCTAAAGGTCAAGCCATTGACCTAGGAGCATGCAAAAAATTAGCCAGATATACTGAGCTTAAGTATCCTAAAGTCTGCGTTGAAATGACCCTCTGTTTTTCCCATAAAATACAAAGATTATATAGGGAAATACAAATGGTCAGTTTTGACCGCTTTACGAAGTTTTCCCAGATATGCCGAGTTTTTTGTGACACCCCTAGGTGTTCTTCTATTACCTCACAAAATATCAAGGGGGGTCGTCGGAGGAAATTTTTTTTCGTAATAGAGCTCATATAAAGAGAATTTCACTCGCGGTAACTTTTTAGCCCTCGTCGAGGGCTTTGAGTGTAACCGACAGTTTTCCCTAAAGGTCAAGCCATTGACCTAGGAGCATGCAAAAAATTAGCCAGATATACTGAGCTTAAGTATCCTAAAGTCTGCGTTGAAATGACCCTCTGTTTTTCCCATAAAATACAAAGATTATATAGAGAAATACAACTGGTCAGTTTTGACCGCTTTACGAAGTTTTCCCAGATATGCCGAGTTTTTTGTGACACCCCTAGGTGCTCTTCTACCACCTCACAAAATATCAAGGGGGGTCGTCGGAGGAAATTTTTTTTCGTAATAGAGCTCATATAAAGAGAATTTCACTCGCGGTCACTTTTTAGCCCTCGTCGAGGGCTTTGAGTGTAACCGACAGTTTTCCCTAAAGGTCAAGCCATTGGCCTAAGAGTATGCAAAAAATTAGCCAAATATACTGAGCTTAAGTACCCTAAAGTCTGCGTTGAAATGACCCTCTGTTTTTCCCATAAAATACAAAGATTATATAGGGAAATACAACTGGTCAGTTTTGACCGCTTTACGAAGTTTTCCCAGAATTGCCGAGTTTTTTATGAAACCCCTAGGTGTTCTTCTACCACCTCACAAAATATCAAGGGGGGTCGTCGGAGGAAATTTTTTTTCGTAATAGAGCTCATATAAAGAGAATTTCACTCGCGGTCACTTTTTAGCCCTCGTCGAGGGCTTTGAGTGTAACCGACAGTTTTCCCTAAAGGTCAATCCATTGACCTAGGAGCATGCAAAAAATTAGCCAGATATACTGAGCTTAAGTACCCTAAAGTCTGCGTTGAAATGACCCTCTGTTTTTCCCATAAAATACATAGATTATATAGGGAAATACAACTGGTCAGTTTTGACCGCTTTACGAAGTATTCCCAGATATGCCGAGTTTTTTGTGACACTCCTAGGTGTTCTTCTACCACCTCACAAAATATCAAGGGGGGTCGTCGGAGGAAATTTTTTTTCGTAATAGAGCTCATATAAAGAGAATTTCACTCGCGGTCACTTTTTAGCCCTCTTCGAGGGCTTTGAGTGTAACCGACAGTTTTCCCTAAAGGTCAAGCCATTGACCTAGGAGCATGCAAAAAATTAGCCAGATATACTGAGCTTAAGTACCCTAAAGTCTGCGTTGAAATGACCCTCTGTTTTTCCCATAAAATACAAAGATTATATAGGGAAATACAACTGGTCAGTTTTGACCCCTTTACGAAGTTTTCCCAGATATGCCGAGTTTTTTGTGACACCCCAAGGCGTTCTCCTACCACCTCTTAAAATATCAAGGGGGGTCGTCGGAGGAAATTTTTTTTCGTAATAGAGCTCATATAAAGAGAATTTCACTCGCGGTCACTTTTTAGCCCTCGTCGAGGGCTTTGAGTAAGACCGACAGGTCTGCCCTACGGTCAAGCCATTTACCTATAAACATGCCAAAAATTAGCCAGATGTAAACAGGGTAAGTGCCCTAAAATCCGTTTTGAAATGACCCTCTGTTTTTCCCATAAAATACAAAGATTATATAGGGAAATACGACTGGTCAGTTTTGACCCATTTCCCGATTTTTCCCGGACATGGCGAGTTTTTTGTGACACCCCAAGGTGTTCTCCTACCACCTCACAAAATATCAAGGGGGGTCGTCGGAGGAAATTTTTTTTCGTAATAGAGCTCATATAAAGAGAATTTCACTCGCGGTCACTTTTTAGCCCTCATCGAGGGCTTTGAGTAAGACCGACAGGTCTGCCCTACGGTCAAGCCATTTACCTATAAACATGCCAAAAATTAGCCAGATGTAAACAGGGTAAGTGCCCTAAAATCCGTTTTGAAATGACCCTCTGTTTTTCCCATAAAATACAAAGATTATATAGGGAAATACGACTGGTCAGTTTTGACCCAATTCCCGATTTTTCCCGGACATGGCGAGTTTTTTGTGACACCCCAAGGTGTTCTCCTACCACCTCACAAAATTTCAAGTGGGGTCGTCGGAGGAAATTTTTTTTCGTAATATAGCCCATATAAGGCGCCGGTCAGTCGAGGTCAGTTTTGACCCCCTCTCCGTCGACTTTTCGGCCAACCGTCACCGTCCCTCGTGTTCTATCGCCCCAAGGCACCATCGTGCCAAATTTGACGCGCCTGCGGCGCCGGGAAGTGCCCTTTCGGGCACCTGACCACTTTGCTTTATATATATAGATTTCTATCCAGCATTTTCTACCTTTTAAACTCTCCTACTCGTTCACTCCATCTCTGATGGGTAAATAACTCACGTTAGGGAAAGTAAAGGCGGCCAGGCATAGTGCTGACCACACTATCTCTTCATATGCCGAGGTCACAGAAACAAGTGAACTCTACTTCACTTGCCCCATAGACCGTCAAGTTTGAAAGGGAAACTTTACTTTTACCCATCCACCACTCCCACCAATAATTGAAGCTGTGTTATAACACAACCTCATATCATAGGTAAAAAAAACAACAACTGCGTGTTGTTTAAGAAACAGAGGTATGCTAGGGGCATCTGAAATATATGACAGGTTTTTGATATCTAAATCGGTTGCTAGAGCGTGCTAAGTTCGAGTTGATTAAAGCTTGGATCTCACTAGATCACAAACAACACCATCTCGCCAGGCATCGAGGTCACAGACCCTTAGGTCACAAAGGTCACAATGTCGTAGGTCACCGAGGTCACATCCCCATGGGCCTAGACCACTGTTACGGCCCCATAGATAACCGATTTCTCAGTCCATGAGACAACTTAGGTCACAATGCCAGAAGTCACCGAGGTCAATAGACGACATAGTTCACAATGTCGCATACCACTAACATCACAACCCCATAGACTACTGACACAAACCCATAGGTCACAACTCCATAGACCACTGACACAAACCCATAGGTCACAACTCCATAGACCACTGACACGAACCCATAGGTAACAACCCCATAGACCATCAATGTCAGCGTCCCAAAAACCACCCTTACCCGCCTCTATAACCAGGAGATATTGGGCAACCTTTCATCGTATAAACTCCTACCCCCACTCCACACCCGCCATAACCATTCCTACTCCCCCCCCCCCCCCCCCCCGCTACTACCATATTTGACGCGCCGACCAGGATGTGAGTTTCAGGTCGGTAAACAATGAGGTCACGTCATCTTTCCCCATATCAACTCCTCCACTCCACCATCACCTTTCCTAGTTCCATCCCCCCGGCCATAACCATGACCTTTCGTCGTCCCCACCCCCCTGGACGCGCCAACCAGGATGTGAGTTCCAGGTCGGGTAGACAATGAGGTGACGTCATCCACCGTCAGCTGTTGTCCGCGCGCGCTGGTGCGTGACGCTGTGAGCTGACACCTGGACAACAGCTGTCTGGGCTATCAACTCCGTCAGTCGTACAACATGCTGTGGCTTATAGCAAACAGCAGCTTACAGCAGCGTACAGCAAATAGCAGCTTACAGCAAACAGCAGCTTACGATATATAGCAGCATGCATCATAATACAGCATACAACAACCAGCAGCTTACAGTATAAAGCAGCGTACAACAAACAGCAGCTTACAGCAAACAGCAGCTTACAGCAAACAGCAGCTTACAGAAAACAGCAGCTTACAGCAGCTTACAGCAAACAGCAGCTTACAGCAAACAGCAGCGTACAGCAAACAGCAGCTTACAGCAAACAGCAGCTTACAGCAAACAGCAGCGTACAGCAAACAGCAGCTTACAGCAAACAGCAGCTTACAGCAAACAGCAGCTTACAGCAAACAGCAGCTTACAGCAAACATCACCAGACATTATAAAGCAGCGTACAGTATACAACATTCAACAGCTTTATAACATACAGCATACATCTGTTTATTGCATTTAGCAGTGTACAAGCATAGAACAGCTTTCGGTAGCCTAGATCATACAGCATTCAGCAGCATACTGCTTAAATCAGTGAACAGCATACCACAGCTTACAGCTTAAACAGCGTAGAGCTGCACGCAAGTATAATACACTTACAGCATTCGGCAGCTTACAGTATATGCTAGCTGATAGTTTGTGTTTCAATCAATTCTGAACTGTCTCAAAGTTTTTCACGTGCTTTAAGCTGAGTTTGGTGTTTATAAATCGTTCTATGTTGTGTGTGTGTATTGTTATGTAATGCGGTTCGCGAAATAACGTAATTCGGACCAGCGCAGTTCAACAATAATTATATTACACAAATTAGCAACGGTAATTATGCAAATAAAAACTAAGCAAACACTCAATTTTTTAAAAAAATGCGCCAATGAATACGTGGCGTTTACATTAAGTTTACATTGAAAATATTTCTAATGAGCGACACTTGAGACTAATTACCTTTTTTATAACTAATTATTATTTCTCATTAATATGCTTGATACATTAAAATAAACATTAGTTTAAAAAAACTAATTAATAAAAGTAAACATAATTAATAATCCTGTATAGTTACGTATTGTCTAACTTTCTGAATTACACAATGTGGTACGTCCATACTGACAACGATCGATTTATTAATTAACTCAAAATGACACCGACGGATGATCCAGTGAGTAAGGTTATTTTTAACTGCGCACTAGTCACATGACTAACCACGTGATAGCTAGCTGTAAACAGTCAGTCGTCCTTATCTAACTTCCTTTGTTTCAGTGTTCATCACAAGCTGCTTTAGATCTAGTAATTACCCCGAGACTGCTGGGCTATGGCTAGATGGGGAAATGTCTTTGTGCTGTTCAACATATCATTGGTAAGTTATTCAATGCATCGTTGGTAAGTTGTTGTAATTTAAAATAATAGCATTTGACCGTAAAAAACAACAAGTATAAACGTTTATAACTATACGTTTTTAAAAAACAAAATTGTGAAAATAAGAAAATAACCATATAAATTGTCGTTATTATGAATGATTTAAGGAACGACTTATTACGATTTTATTTTTTGTTAAAATTTAGTGACGAGGGGTGTGGGGTGGGGGGGGGGGCGGATTACGAGGAGGGCGTGTGTGTGTGGAGGGGGGGGGGGCAAGGACGGGCATCGTTTTTATACACCTTTTCGATGAAGTAGAGTTCACCTGTTTCAGAAATCTCGGCATATGAAAGACTGTTGTGGTCAACACTATGCCCAGCCGCCATTACTTTCCCAGCTCTACAACAAATCACATACCATTATATCTTACTACAGCTTTACAACAAATCACATACCATTATATCTTACTACAGCTTTACAATAAATCACATACCATTATATCTTACTACAGCTTTACAATAAATCACATACCATTATATCTTACTACAGCTTTACAATAAATCACATACCATTATATCTTACTACAGCTTTACAATAAATCACATACCATTATATCTTACTACAGCTTTACAATAAATCACATACCATTATATCTTACTACAGCTTTACAATAAATCACATACCATGATATCTTACTACAGCTTTACAATAAATCACATACCATTATATCTTACTACAGCTCTACAACAAATCACATACCATTATATCTTACTACAGCTTTACAACAAATCACATACCATTATATCTTACTACAGCTTTACAATAAATCACATACCATTATATCTTACTACAGCTTTACAATAAATCACATACCATTATATCTTACTACAGCTTTACAATAAATCACATACCATTATATCTTACTACAGCTTTACAATAAATCACATACCATTATATCTTACTACAGCTTTACAATAAATCACATACCATTATATCTTACTACAGCTTTACAATAAATCACATACCATTATATCTTACTACAGCTTTACAATAAATCACATACCATTATATCTTACTACAGCTTTACAATAAATCACATACCATTATATCTTACTACAGCTTTACAATAAATCACATACCATTATATCTTACTACAGCTTTACAATAAATCACATACCATTATATCTTACTACAGCTTTACAATAAATCACATACCATTATATCTTACTACAGCTTTACAATAAATCACATACCATTATATCTTACTACAGCTCTACAACAAATCACATACCATTATATCTTACTACAGCTTTACAATAAATCACATAACATTATATCTTACTATAGCTTTACAATAAATCACATACCATTATATCTTACTACAGCTCTACAACACATCACATAACATTATATCTTACTACAGTTTGACAACACATCACATAACATTATATCTTACTACAGCTTTACAATAAATCACGTACCATTATATCTTACTACAGCTGTACAACAAATCACATAACATTATATCTTACTACAACTTGACAACACATCACATAACATTATATCTTACTACAGCTTTACAATAAATCACATAACATTATATCTTACTATAGCTTTACAATAAATCACATACCATTATATCTTACTACAGATTGACAACACATCACATAACCTAAATTTCTAACAGCAGTTTCAAAATGTGTGTTTTTGTGAGTGCCTGGAAATGTTTGTGTGAACTTTGACCTATTCCCCTGCTAAAGAGCGTATTATCTCTTCTAGTTGGTAGTCGATACTGCAGTATCGATTTTTTTATTGAAATAGGGACGGATATCCGGTTATCTGACAGCGTCGTTCATCAGTTTTAGCGGGGTTATAAATCTTTTTAGAATCGAATACATAATCGGGAAGAAATGCATGTATTGCCTTATGATATAACGATTATGATTATCGGGTAATTGTTATGTGATTGTCATATGGACTTTTGATTGTGGGTGTGTGGTCTTATTGTGAGTTGATGTGTGGTCTTGTGGGCCGTTGATTGTGAGTGGATTTGTGATATTTGGGCCGTTGATTGTGAGTTAGTGTGTTGTTTTGTGGGCCATTGATTGTGAGTGTGTGATCTTGTGGGCCGTTGATTGTGAGTTGATGTGTGGCCTTGTGGGCCGTTGGTTGTGAGTTGATGTGTGGTCTTGTGGGCCGTGGATTGTGAGTGTGTGGTTTTGTGGGCCGTTGATTGTGAGTTGATGTGTGGTCTTGTGGGCCGTGGATTGTGAGTGTGTGGTCTGGTGGGCCGTTGATTGTAAGTTAGTGTGTTGTTTTGTGGACCGTTGATTGTGAGTTGATGTGTGGTCACATGTGAGTAGGATGCGTACAGAAATATACAGCGGAGATGTTCGTATATTTTAGCATAACACGCCGTACCTGCTAGAAGCTTCTCAACCATTAACGATTTGGTTCGTAGAGTACACTGTGCTAGTTGGCACTTCTACGTCGACCTTACTGTAAATATGTACAATTTACAAGCTAAAAATGCATTAAAAAGTAATCTTTATAATTTAGTCGTTAGGTTATTTAATTTTTAGTTACTGTCTTTCGCCTTTTCTTTCACCACCACAAAAAAGTTAGCCCCCCCCCCCCCTCATAAATCACGTCACCATTCAATCAACCCTCCCATAATTTTTTATTTTTAATTTTTTTTTTAAAGCATAGTGTTTGTTTCTAAAACATTAACTGAACTGAGGCAGGATTAAGTGTATTGAACGATTCATTGATTTGTAATACAGTTAACAATGGTGTATTTAACGAACCCCCCCCCCCCCCACCCCACTCGTCACACATTGTCACAATAATTCGAACCACCCCCTCACGTGTAAAAGCGACCCCTGGCTCAGACCCTCCCATGTTTTAAAAACCAACTCGTGGACACCTCACACAGTTTTAAAATGTGATTGGAACTTAATTGTTATTTACAATATTTTTAAAAATGTATGTTTTCTACAAAAATATGCCGATTAGAGACAGCTAATCAGAATTACCTTTTTACTTTCTCGTATATACGAAGTATAGAGAAAGTCTTGTAATCGTGCAAAAAAAAAAATCGAGATTTTTGCAAATCTCGACGTTTTGCATCTCACTGATACGGAAAAACATAATTTTGCAATCTTGTCCGTATGTCTGTGTGTCTGTGTGTGTGTGTGTCTGTGTGTGTGTGTCCCCGTGTGTAAACACGATAACTTGAGTACCGTTACAGCTAGGTTGATGAAATTTCATATATAAGTATTTAATCAAAATCGTAGATCCGTATCAACTTTTGAGCGATTTCCGATAACCGGAAGTGGTACTTTTCCTACTTTGAATTTTTCAAAAGCCTATAACTTGAGTACTATTTCAGATAGATAAATGAAATTTCATACGTAAGTAAAAGATCTAATTCTCTACCTTCTATTAAATTTTGAGTCATTTCCGTTGACTGGAAGTAGTACTTTACGCTACTTCCGATTTCTCAAAAAACTAATGTAAATTTTAAAAGTAATAATAATATTGCGCACTATTATGCGCTTTTTTATTTCGCGTTCACTTGGTGTGCAATTAATTTGTCTACGAGATTTTATTCTATTTTTAAAACTTTAAGTATTTAAAATGGATTAAAAATCATGTCTATAGCCCGAGTTCCCATTCCCTGTTATTTTATATAAGAATATTCGAGAAAGTTTAGGGGAGATCACTCCCGGTTTATTTAAACCAGCTATCGATTTTATTTAAAAAAAATAAAATATCAACTTAAAAAAAAGGCATTAATTTAAACCGTATGTAGATTTGGTCTCTCAATCAATGAATAATGCATCTTACATTACGATTTATATAATTAATTAGTAATTCTAATTATCTTTATTTATTACACGAGAGTTTATAATTTGTATTTAAGAGCTCAAAATTTCATTAAAATATTTTTTTAAGTTTTCGCATGAATAATTAATTTAAACAAATAATACTAAAAGAAGTGAGCGCTCTAGAAAAGGCACATTACTTTTTATTTCTAAGACAAATGCAGTTTCAAAAAGTATGATCCCTAAGCAGTTTATACTCTGATTTAAAAAAAAAAAAAACTTTTGTTAATAGCAAAATAATCAATTATTTTTAAAAAAAAATAAGTTATAATTTTTTTCTTTTGTAAATTTTTTTTTGCAGGTGGTTTTATCACTAGCAATCCCAGTGTTCAACGAGGCGGAAGCGGAAGTGCCTAGACAACAACAGGAGGATGGTCAAGCGGAGCCTGGCCTGTCCAGGAAAAAGAGAATCGATACTGGTATCGAACTCACTCAACAGGAGCAGCCCGACGCGGCCAGAGGGCTGTCACGTCAGAAGAGGGTTGACGTGGACAGAGACAACCCGTCCATCAGAGACCGGCTGAGTTTTGAGATCGAGTCAGCGTTGATGCGTCATAGACGCCAAGCGCTGGAAGAGGAGTCAGAGCTCTCGAGGCAGAAACGTGCAGATTTTGACGACCAATCACAATTGTCGAGACAAAAACGTACAGATTTTGAGGACGAATCACAATTGTCAAGACAAAAACGTACAGATTTTGAGGACGAATCACAATTGTCGAGACAAAAACGTACAGATTTTGAAGACCAATCACAATTGTCGAGACAAAAACGTACAGATATTGAAGACCAATCACAATTGTCAAGACAAAAACGTACAGATATTGAGGACCAATCACAACTATCGAGACAAAAACGTACAGATCTTGAAGACGAATCACAATTGTCAAGACAAAAACGCAATGACCTTGATAATTAATGCTGTAGCGTGAAAATAAAAGCTCCAAACAATGGACACTATTTTATAGATTTTACCTCTTTCAATTTATCTACGTTTCAAATACAGAATGTTTACATTGGCGCTTGTAGATTGTATATTATATACTGGCTTTGACAATTTAATCTTTTATTCTTACTCTCTGTCCACTGATGCGTCTGTTTGCTTGACATGTATGCAGAAGTAAGAGGTTGGGGTAGAGGGGGTGGGGGTGAAGAAGGGGAGGGGAGATAATATAAGAGCCAGACACCAAATTTATCATTCAGAACTGTTGTTTAAAAAAATAAAAATAAAATGTTTGTACATAATCAAATTATGTTTTAAAATTCAAGAATGACGGAGAGCTTAAGAGAAAGATGGCAGATGCGTCTTATTTTTGTTTTTGCTTTGGTGCTCGCTAGTTGTAGACGAGATGAACTGAGATACGACTCTGTGTATTCTATTTATGTTGCTTGATTGCTAATTATATTTGCTTGGTCTTAAAAGTAATAAGACATTATTATTTTAGTGAAATACTATTTTGAACATAACATTTGAAAATTAAATGAGATTAGTTTGTTTTCTCTAAAGAGCGACACCAAATTCCCTGATAAGAAATGGTGTGTTTAGGTACTCCTACCATTGTTAATGAATATATAGCTACTTACATTGTTATCAATAAATACATAGCTACCTAGGCTATCGCTGGTTGGTCTGTCTTAGTCACGTGGTGTTGCCATCGACTTAGTATTGTTTTTAAATTACCGAGACATGGTCCGCATTGTCTCCCCTGTTTTTACAAAAGGTCAAAAGTCAAATCTGTCTACTCAATCGGCTGTTCTAAAATGATATCAGTCTCGTTCTAAGCCAATAAGCCATACCCTGACCACATGGGTATAGTGTGATTGTCTTGCTACATTGTGACTTGTGACACATCTCGCTATTCAACCCCCTTTGTCATTAATGCGTGACGTCAAATATTAATGAACTCCCCCAATTTATAAACAACGTGTTCTTTGTGTTATTATTTGTATCAATTTTTATTATTGCTGTAAATAATTTGGCTAATTGTTTTCAACCGAAACAACATAATCATTACACTATAATGGCGTGTTATTTTCCCTTGTAATACGAGTTCGCTCCCCTTTCAAATATCTTTAATTTTCCGACATGAATGACATTCATCGTTGTAAACGGTTCTCAAAGCATTATTGATGTTGTTGTTTCAAGTGAATGTCTAATCTCGGCTTGATACAATTTCCTTTTTTGTTGTTGTAATAAAAATTTAAAAGACAAACATCATCTTTATTTATTGTATTTGTAGACTATACAATTATATATATATATATATATATATATATATATATATATATATATATATATATATATAAAAAACTACCAAAAGACGATTTAATTCACCAAAGGTACTCTATCAATCCTGACGCAATATGGGGTAAGTGAAGTGGACAACCACACCGGGTGTCACCCCACTTAGTAACGCCACAGTTGATAAAACTTATTGGCGTTACTGATAGTACTTCTTGTTTTCCGGTCCAATAAAAGAATAAGACACTTCTGTTACAGAGTGTATTTTTGTGTATCGTGTTTGGGATGACTTGTGTCTGACGGTAGAATACCCGGCCAGCGGTAGTGAATGCGTGGGCGGTCACTCATCGGATTGCCGTTGTCTGTTACAACTTTTAAATAACCTTAATCTTAAACCCTTCTAACCCAACACCACCAACCTCTACCAGTTTAAAAACAAATATTTAAAAAAATATATTAAAAAAATAAAGAAAGAAGAAAAAAAAAATCAGTTGGGATGCTCGGTCTAGCGGAAGCGTTGTTTTATTTTCTACTTTTCAGTGATTCATAATATGTGAATTCGACACTCTCTGCCGTCACTAATTCGACCCGGCTCTACGATTGTAGACAATCGGGGTGAACCACAGCTCACCAGACTGATGGGGGTGGGGGCCGGGAGGGGGGGGGGGTGGAATGGTGGTAGCGAAATGGTCTGTTACGCATGCCCGGAGAGCGAGGGAGGGGCGGGAGGAGGGTTAGATAGCCGGCTTGCGTCGTCTGGTCTATGACAAAAATTATATTTATAGATATCCAAGTATAGCTACATTTTCATATTATAACATGACGTTTCGCCATCGTATATCCAATTTAAATTGCTTGGGATGTATCAATAAACAACGTTGCGATCCTATACATGTTTCTTTCAGGAATAAAAATAATAGAACTTACATATAAAACATAAACTACAACGTGTGACACGTTAGTAATAAAACAGGTGGTGTTAGTGACCTCACAAATTTAAGACAATTCCAGGCACAATTTGTGAGATAACTAACACTAACTGTTTTATTCCTAACTGTATTAACCATCACTGCAGCTACCATTTGTATTTATCTATTTCGCTCTCTTGTGACCACCTTTCTCTCTCCCACCCTGGGGATTTGGATACCCCCCCCCCCAACACACAAGCTTCAAGTGCTAACTCGAGATAATTGCCCGAAAGAAACCCTGGATGATTCGACTTGTCATTGGTTACAGAAACTTCCAGAAAATTCTAGGGTCGGTTAATTTTTTTACTCAAGTTTTGTTTGATGAATAAAAAATGATGAAGTAGAGTAAAGCGGTTTCTATGAGGTCGACATATGAATTGATAGTTTGGCTAGAGCTAGAACTTTCTCCAATGCCATCTGGATACCCTTTAGACCTGGGTAGGTTTAGTATCCAATACAAATTGTGAAGGTTCCCGTTCACGTAACGGCATTGCATAATATGTTCTATGACTTCAAGCAAACAACAGTAACTGTTCGAAAAATAGATTTGCTTAAAAACCTTTAATATTTAAGAATCAATACAATTTTCAAAACACTATTGTTCAAGAAGTTCAGAGAGGTGTAATATTAACAAATGTTTAGTACGTTTTAACATTGAATATTAATTTATTATTTTCTTTTTATTTATAGATTAAAATCTAATAAAATAAATTAAAGGGAAACAACTTAAAATATTTTCCCAAAAATCTTATCCTCCAAATTAATAAATTAATATCTAAATAGTTACATTCACGATCATTTTTTTTTATTATTTAACCATAATGAACGTTAACATGTTTATACTTTTGTCTGCTATTTTTAATACTTTATAAATTTTGAAATTTTACTATAACTATAAATTAAATAGAAAACCATTATTATAATTAAATTATTTTTTGTTCAGAACAAAGAGTAACAAATATCATCAATACAAAACAAAATTGTACACCAGTGCCATTATGAACTATTTACCCTCGGTTTGCCACTAACACAGGGGTCGGCAACCTGCGGCTCGCGAGCCGCATGCGGCTCTTTTGATATCAAGATGCGGCTCTCCAGCTCTTTGAACAAATACTAATAATCTTAATAAAAAAATAAAATATTTAAAATAAAAAAAAATATTAGTGGCTCTTTAAAACCAGGGAAATTTTGAAAATTGTAACTTTTGGCTCTTCCGCTTCAAAAGGTTGCCGACCCCTGCACTAACATACATAATTGAATTTTTCGGCCTTTTGGCTCAGATCAAAGTGTAGTATCTGTTATGGATTCTGCACAAATCATAGTCAAGTGGTTTGACAGTTTTTTTTAGGGCTGGCTGCCGGGGTTCAGAAGTTGGTAATCGAGGCATCGAATGCAAATGATCGCTGTGGGGTTGCGCCAACACACCCCTCGAATGCATCAGCTCTAGAGAAGAGTCACCTAGTACAGGGGTCGGCAACCTGCGGCTCGCGAGCCGCATGCGGCTCTTTTGACATCAAGATGCGGCTCTCCAGTTCCTTGAACAAATACTAATAATCTTAATAAAAAAAAAATATTTGAAATAAAAAAATGTTAGTGGCTCTTTAAAAGGTGGGAAATTTTGAAAATTTTAACTTTTGGCTCTTTTGTCTCAAAAGGTTGCCGACCCATGACCTAGTACTTGTACTATGGTGGCTTCAATGTACGAGTGGCTAATAATCGATTTTTTTTTCAGCTAGACGACGCCTACCTAGGAGCTGTCTTAGGTAGGATGTTCCGACTTGATACCTTGAACCTATTGTCAAAGCTCTATAGGAATCAATAAAAGAAAGAAAAATTTAAAAAGAAAATAAAGAAGCAAAAATCATGAAGAAACAAAAGTCAAGAAGAAACAAAAAGAGACAAAAAGCAAGCAAAGACAAAAAGCGAGAAAAGACAAAAGGCAAGATAAGACAAAGCAAGAAAAGACAAAAAGCAAGTAAAAGCAAAAAGCAAGAAAAGACAAAAAGAAAGTAAAGACATAAAGTAAGAAATCAGGACTAGACAAGGCTTGTTAAAACAAACAGTACATTGATTTTGAAATGTATAAAATCTTTTGGTTAATTTTTTAAATAATGTAATTGTGTTTGATGTTAATTTACTTGCTTTATATTGAAAATAAAAGTATTTCAAATTTTAAAACAACATTTCTTTCTCTAACGTGAATCAACTAACCTTCAGAGTTCGAATGTACACAGAGTCCTAAAGTCACGAGTCGTGACTGAGACAGCAGCTAAACACCGTCTTGAACATTGTCCTCAATTTTTTGTGTGGAGATTTGTTGAAACGTTTTTCTTATGATGAAATAAGCAATTACTACCAACACCAGCAATTGCTTATTTCATCAAAAGAAAAACGTTTCAACAAATCTCCACACAAAAAGAATTCGAATAACTACCAACACCAGCAGGACGGAGTGGTCTAGCGGTAGAGAGCTGGACTGCTAACCCGTAAGTCTCGAGTTTGAATCCGGGTTCAAGTCAGTAAAGGCGGCTAAGCATAGTACTGACCACACTATCTTTTTATATGCCGAAGTCACAGAAACAAGTGAACTCTACTTCACGTGCCCCATAGAAAGGGAAACTTTACTTTACTTTACCAACACCAGCAGTGGGGATGCTCCAACTTCCACTATTCTCTAAGGCGAGAGCCGGTGAGAAGAGTTACTTCAGCCACGGCTCAGTAGTTTAATAAAACAATAAAACCCAAACCTTGCCAAAATTAACAACAACAACAGTAACTCTAGAACTACTTGAAGAAGAATGTTCAGATTTTTTTTTTTAAAACTGCAACAGCCTCGCCTACATGCAAGTATTCATCACATCAAGAGGACAACCTAAACTTGCCAACACATCAGCAACCAACAAGTTCTTGTACTCAACTATGGCAGAGTCGACACCTGGTACTTCTCCTTACAAGCCATTGACGTCACCACAATGCATAAGACAACCAAAACACAACCAAAACACAATGAGCTTTTCTCTACACTTAGATGTTACCCCGACACTCAACAACGCAAAACTCATACAAGCACTACGCCTATGCAAGCGACAAAGAACCATCAATATGCATAAACCCACACATTGATAATCGCACCTTTTATATCTACACTGACAAACCTTCCACCATCTCACACTACTTCAAAATAAAAAAATAAAAAAAAAACACCATCTTAATCGCGATCGCAGTGAGAAGACAAGCGTGTCAGCTCGCTCTTCCACTCAGCACTGGACGAACCATTGCCAACTAGCACACCCAGACACACCACAGCAGGAATTACCAACAACACTAACACTAGAAGTTACAGTACCCTCCACAACAAGCTACAGCAGTGGTACGCCACCAACAGAATTCCACATCAGCAACAAGACCATCAATTCAGAAAAGACAACAGTAAAACAAGCCTGCTAACATTGGTCATCTTCACACCACTGGACAGACCAATGCAACCAACCACATCGGAAACCACAGCAGCAGACAACACCAAAACCAGCATCATCATCAGCCGTAAAATCAACAGGGATCACAATACAGCCAGCCATCTCCGTTTCCCAAAGTCAAGCCCTGGACACATCGGAGTCAACGGCAGCCCTGGACAGATCGGAGTCAACCTGTCTTAAGACGCCAGCCCAGGACACATCGGAGTCAACGGTCTTAAGACGCCAGCCCTGGACACATCGGAGTCAACGGTCTTAAGACGCCAGCCCTGGACACATAGGAGTCAACGGTCTTAAGACGCCAGCCCTGGACACATCGGAGTCAACGGTCTTAAGACGCCAGCCCTGGACACATAGGAGTCAACGGTCTTAAGACGCCAGCCCTGGACACATCGGAGTCAACGGTCTTAAGACGCCAGCCCTGGACACATCGGAGTCAACGATCTTAAGACGCCAGCCTACAACCCTCCCCCCTCAAAATTACAATTGAAAATTTCTTAAAATACTATATTTTTCTAAAATCTTGACACACTTTAAACACTACTCAATTTTTCAAAATACATCGCTAGTTAAAACTAACAAATATGGCGTTACTATGTCTTATTGTCCTCAAAAGTACCTATTTGCGTATTTAAAACATTGACAGGCAGTTTTAAAAATTAAAAAGTGGGACTTACAGACATAATAATAGTCTATCAAAATTTGTCTTACATAGAGAAACTTCAGCTCCAAATGTTGGTCTGGTGTAAAATAAATAGAAGTGTGGCTTTGAAAGAAGAAAAAAATATGTGTAAATTATATCTGCATTTGCAAATTTAATATCATCGATTGTATTAAAAATTTCTAAATGTTTAAAAGCTTTTAAGTGCTTTTTAAAATTGCCGATAGCTTTTAATAGAATCAAAGCAAAAGTGTCAAAACCACGTATTTATCCATGTCAAAAACTTTGTGGTGGAGGGGGGAGGAGACGGGGCATCACATCAAAGTACATAGAAACCCATACATTTTGAAATCAATATTTTGACATGAACTGTGGTCAGCTGTGAGTCCCCCCCCCCCCTTCACCTAACATTGAATGACACGGTGGTACATTAGCTCCGTCACTATAATAACCCCAACAAAAATAAACTCGAAAAAAGTGAATCGCACACTAAAAACAACAGAATCACACATTCAAACAACAGAATCACATACTAAAAACAACAGAATCACATACTAAAAACAACAGTATCACACACTCAAACAACAGAATCACACACTCAAACAACAGAATCACACACTCAAACAACAGAATCACACACTATAACAACAGAATCACACACTATAACACTATAACCAAACACTAAAACAACAGAATCACATAAATGGAGTCTCGCCATTCTGAATCAAACAACCAGTACTCATCAATGAATAAAAACATTTATTGGATTTCACAGTGGTATCATGTGTACACAACAGATTTAAAGCACCATAAAGCAATCTCAAATACATGCCCATGTTGGTTATATCCCTTTCTAATGTACTGCTTGTCATTTTTTTAAATCTGTATCAGTTATCTCCCTTCTAATGTACTGCTTGTTTTCTTATTAAACATGTATCAGTTATCTCCCTTCTAATGAGCCTTGGTTACTTCCCTTTTTTGTTATCTCCCTTATACAATTAATCAGATACTTATTTTTCTAACTGCCTCTAGAAACATCTCTTATTTTATTTCTAGCACTACCTCCACAGTGATTCCCAAATCTTCAGGAACTATCAACTTTAAACTGAATTAATTAAAATGGTTTACAAATACATAAAAAATAAGATAAACCTATTTGATACTGTGTATTAAGTTCTCATATTACACCCCACACAATAGCAATGCTATTATACTGTGTAAACAATCTCTGAACATTTTGAAGTATTTTTTTTTTTAAAAAGGTTTTTGAACACATAAGTTTTAACCATATATGCTTAACTAACAGAGTAAATTATATTTAATGAAAACATGCCTTGCCATATGATGTTTATCTACAAGTTTATTTATATAATGTTTAACCATAACATATTTAATGATAACAATAATCCACCATAACATGTTTAATAATAATGGGTCTAACCTGGAGATATCTAAACATAACAAAACATAAGAGAAGGTTGAACCATACCATTACATCACTAAAAAAATCTATTATAAAAACTAACTGTTTAGAGTTTTGTCATGTTGCTTGTGAATATTAATTTACAGCAATTATAATTCAAACATGTATCATTTTTCAAAACAATACATTCATTATTTTAAAGGAAAAAAATAATTAATTATCAGATTTCAAAGGATAAAATAAATTATTTTATTAAATTTAAAAAATATAAAATAAATATTCTTCAAAAAAAAAAAAAAAAGCAAAATTTCATTTTCTTCAGATATTTTGTTCCAAAAATATGTTTTTAACATTTAATAAACATGCATGACAACAAGCATTGAAGGATCTTATGAGTATAGGTATAGTGAGAAAAACACTTAAGGTGCTGTCACATTGAAATCAGGTGCAGAAGACAAGAGCAGGGGTCACATCAATAGGCAGCAGGACTAGGTTAAACATGGGCAGATAACCATTTGACAGCAGTAACAATAATATCAGTGACAATGAGTTTAGGTAATAGCATGATGATAAAAATAAAAAATGGTAAAAATAGTAAGTAACAATGCACTTTTGTAACAAGTTTAGAATATTGAAGTTTAATTGTACAGAAGTTTTTAAGTCTGAAATAAATAGCATGGTTTATTTATCAAAAATATAAAAATATGCATGAAATAAAGAAACAAAATATTTCAAACATACAATGTTTATAGGGACTAATATAAGAAATTTAAACAATGAATGGGCAACACAATGTTTATAGGGACTAATATAAGAAATTTAAACAATGAATGGGCAACAATTTTCAATTAATACTTAAAGAAGTTCCTTACTCTGCACACCACATTATCAGGGAATATATGCCTAGTTATGATATAAAATATTATAGGACTGTATAGTAAAACTAAATATTCCAGGCCATATAGATCTAGCAGGATGCTAGCTTTCTATTTGGAAATCTATGGCTGTGAAAGTTTAAAAAATCTTGAACCTATTTGTAATTTTAGCATTTTATTTAAAATCTTCTATTTTATATGTTTTGTAATGCATACTTAGGTTAATTAATATGACAGAATCTTCTAGAACCTGAAGGCTTGGTTGTTGTATCCCAACCCACCACTTGCCAAGCTAAACGCTAGATCCGTTTAGGATACAATGGCTTAAAGATCAATGTAGCAAATTTACAACCTACCAAGTCACGCCTCACCAGGTATAGACACCCACAACAAGCACCAGAGCGAACATTTATCGTTTTCACTTACAGCATAGTCCAATGGTAGAGCATTTGGCTGCTAGCCTGAACATCACGAGTTCGGATCTCAGTTTGGACTTGTGACTGTAGGAATTCCTTGAGTCCACCCAGCTCTGACGGGTACCTGACTTACGTTGGGGAAAGTAAAGGCATAGTGCTGACATCGCCATTCCTTTACATGCTGAGCTCAAGAAACATATAAACTCTATTTCATCTGCTCAATGGATCATTAGGTTCTAAAGAGGAACTTTACTACTTTACAAGCCAAGTATACATGGTAGCATTTAACATAGACATAATTGCAATTTTTTATAAACATCTGTTATTTTATTTAATGACAGGGTATGCAGTAACATTAAAGGTTGTATTGCCAATACAGACTAAAGGGGTGAAAAAAAATTACATCAGAATCACTGAACAATACAAAATGCAGATAAACTATACAGTTTTAAGTTCTATAATGGTCAATTTTTCTCGCAATCATAGCAGTATTTATTTATACAACAACGTCTGAATGCCAATATTCAACAATATTTAATAAAGTTAGAATGATAATGGTGATCCATACAAAATGACATTGTAATGATAATTGTGATCCATACAAAATGACATTGTAATGATGGTGATCCATACAAAATGACATTGTAATGATGGTGATCCATACAAAATGACAGTGTAATGATGGTGATCCATACAAAATGACAGTGTAATGATGATGGTGATCCATACAAAATGACAGTGTAATGATGCTGGTGATCCATACAAAATGACAGTGTAATGATAATTGTGATCCATAAAAAATGACAATGTAAAGTTGAAATGTTTTGGATAGAATTGTTGTTAATGTGTTGCAAACAATTTTTTTGTAGTAACATTCAGCCAACATAACTCATAACTAAATGAAAAAAAAATTCATAAATTTTTAAAAACTTACAATTATTTAAAATCATGCACATTTTCCACATGGTGGTAAAAGGGGAATAACTACAACATCAATAACAAATACAGGAATAAAGTGTTAAGTTATGTGGAATGAAACACAATATCTCATAAACAAGCTTTTCAAAATGGGTGTATATATATAAAATATAAATGTAAGAACATGTAAACAAAAATTACCCAGAATTCATAGAATTTGACCAATAAAATCATGAGAACTGACAACTATTGTAAATTTGTCGTAAATATTTGTTAAAAAAATACTAAAACACAGGTCGCATGCAATTTTATAAACAACTTTTAAAACAAATCAGGTGGCTTTACAGGTGGTTTTAGGTGAATTAAAATTATTTTGACATCAATATATTATGTAGTATATAAATTGTAAATAGGTAGACTTGAACTAAGCTAAGATAATATGAACATTTAAAATATGGTTGAACACATCCAGTAAACTTCACAAATAAACCATAGATCATTTTTTACATTGTAACTAAAAGATTGAAAATGTTCTTGCACATTTTTGTTCTTCCACAGGCTCACAGTAAATTTTACAATCAAAGGGCAGTAACAAACCAACACAAATGTGTACAAAACTCAACACTATATACAATGAGAAAGATTGCTATTTTGAAACATTGTTGCTAAGAGTTATAGTATAAACAGACCTACATAATTTGAAGGACTTATATTGTAAATATAAATAATAGTATTCTTAAAATTTCACTCATCTAAATAATCTTTTTTAAAATGCTTTAAAAAAAAATAATTTGGGAATTATATTAGCTGTACAAACTTGTATCCTGCAAATGAAGCTAATATTTTAAGCATAACCTTATTCAGTGGTGAGATCATTTGCCAGTTGCATCGATATATTTCTTAATTTATGCTATCTTTACATTACATTTTGACAGGGGTTACCACCCTTGTTACCTCAACCTAACTTGGTAAACTCAATAGCAATCTGCAAAGTGTTTCAAAAAGAAATTTGAAAAAAAAAGATTCCGTATAAAAAAAATAATCGCAAATGTTTACAAACACTAGATAAAAATGTGAAAAACAAGCATCACACTTTTCGCAGAAAGAAATAATAATGCTGGTCCATCATTAAAATAACATCAAGAAGAGTAACTGGCCTTTAGCGAGTCTCGCAAATATTTAAGTTAGAAAAGATAACAAACTGGGATTTACAGGGGAAGATAGAGATCACAAAAGTTGATTTTTTTAAAAACTTCTTCACATACCAAACAAAAAAATGTATGGAAATTTCATATAGCCATAGCTACTAACTTTAAAAAAAAATTTATTTAACAAACAGTATATTTTTAAGTCACTTTACTACTTCTATAAGACCAAAACAAACTGTTCTATACAAAGAAATACATTGCTTTTATTACAATCTGGTAGTAGACTACAATTCAAAGTTTTAACTTTTTAACAGGCAAAGGAAAAATTATAGTACAAAAGTAAAATAATAAATGAATTTTTAAAAATCTTCAACATTTACCCCATAAAGATAGAACAGATATTCATGTACCTTTTGCTTCTAACATTTTAAGCGTGTCCTTAGCTCACACCACATCACACAGAAAGACTATAAATATTTGTAAATATTCTTCCAACTATATCTTTTTCTTGATCAAATGTACTCTCCTGTTTATAGAAATAATTCACTTGATCGAAGAGATTCTCTGCTCCATCAAAAATGAGTGAGTTGATCTTGAAAGTCACCCACAGAATCATTGGGGATGGATTCCCGTTTGGTGGCGATGGAGTACTCAACACTGGAGCGACGCTCCTCGTGGGGCGACATGCTAAAACTGAACCCTTGGGTTGCGTGGCTCGACTTTTCAGACCGGTTCCCATTGAGGTTGGGGTGCCAGCCGTTTGTGGTGTGGATCTGGTGTGGGTGGGGATGGGAGCTGTTCCCCCCTTTGTTGGACTTGCCCGTTTGGTTGACTTGTAAACCGCTGACGTTGCTGTTGCTGAGCCGCCGGTGGTTGATGTCGGCTCCCTTGGAACTGGAGTCGGAGTACACGGACTTGATGGGGCCGCGTCGGCGCTTGAGTGTCCCCGTCTGGTAGAGCTGGAGCCAGGCGAGCTTGGCCTCTGGGTTGAGCAGGCAGCGGAACACGAAGATGAGGAACCCCTGCAGGGAGTTGCAGATGCAGAAGATGTAGCTGAAGACTAGCTTGGCCTCGTTGATGGCCAGGGGCCCGAAGACCCAGGTGATGCCCAGCAGGAACATGACGGTGAAGGCTCCCCTGAATTGGGCGGGGGTCACGCTCACGGAGTCGTTCATCAGCTGTTGCTGCTGCTGCAAGGAGAAGCAGGTGGGGGTTATATTGGTGTGTGTTAATAACCATAGGGTAATAATGGGATGGTGTGGTAGGAAGTAGATTGCATGAATGCTAACCAGAAAAATCTCAAATTCAGATCCCAGACATGAGTCTGCTAACATTTCCTGAGTTTATCCCAGGTACCTGACTCATGTTAGAAAAAGTAAAGGAGGCTGGGCATAGATAGAATTGACCAGACTATCCCTTCACAAGCCTTGAGCAGGTGCACTATTGACCATCAAGTCCAATAAAATAACTAGAGAGTAGGGTACATGAAAAAGGCTAAAATTTCATTTGATTACTGGTCATGCAGGGATTTCAGGTAAGGATATCAGGATAACCACGAGCCTACCCAGCTGTAATGAGTACTCAACAGAATGTTCCCTTACATAAATTGGTTTTAAAAATTACATGTTTTTTTGGCTACGAAGTTTAAAACTAAGAAGCATAATAAAGCTTAGCTATGAAAATATTGTTAAATAAACTTTTAATTTTTTTTCCCTCAGCAATATTTAAAAAAACAAACATTTCATCCTATCAATACAAAGCCAAAAATTGTATCATGCAAAGTCAGCTAGATTAGTGTTTTTATAAATTAAAATAAAGAACCTACTTGGAATTTGGGCTTTAGAATAACCCTTGACACCATGATGAACACCACAGTGTTGATGACAATGATGACACAGCAGGGAGCGATGAGGGAGGCGTAATAGGCAGCAGCGTTTCTACTCGTCAGAAAACATCTGCAGATACACAAAGGTTTTCTCATCAAATTACAAACTTTATAGATTTTATTTTACAGGAAGGTAGGTGATACATCATAATACATTTAACTAATTTAACTCCAGTAAAGGTGATTACCAACAAAGTTTTTACTTTTAAATGGAAATATTTAACTACAATGAAGAAATTATTTTTATGTAGCATTAAGTTTAAAAAGTAAAAATGAATGTGTAAAACCCAAACACTACGCTGTTTATTTTTTTTGGGTCAAAAACTTTGTAAACACCTCGTTATTTTCTCATAATTATAATAAATTGTTTAAACTTACACATGTCCTGGTAATGTTCTTATTGTAATAATCAATTATTTAGACTTAATTGTTTAGACTTGCTTAGATTACATATCTCTTTGTACGTTTTCGCTATGATAATTAATTATTTAGAATTAATAGTTTACACTTACACATGCCCTAGTATGTACTTATTGTGATAATTAATTATTTAGAATTCATTGTTTACACTTACACATCTCTTGGTATGTTCTCGTTATGATAATTAATTATTTAGACTTAACTGTTTAGACTTACACATCTCTTGGTATGTTTTCGTTATGATAATTAATTATTTAGACTTAATTGTTTAGACTTACACATCTCTTGGTATGTTTTCGTTATGATAATTAATTATTTAGACTTAATTGTTTAGACTTACACATCTCTTGGTATGTTTTCGTTATGATAACTTCCAATGTCCACAGCTGCTGTGATGCCCACAATTGCCAGAGGAACACCTGAAATTAAGACAAAAACGAGAATAGTTATGTATGCGTTTAATTTTAGTGTTTAGTGTCAGGTCAAATAAAGATAGCTTGGGAATCACACTGATCTCTGTCACATGTTTAATTCTCAGGTTAATGCCAGGTACTCTCAAGAGTTGAGTCTCCTCAGGACTATAATAAATATCTCTCTCATGTCAGACCTTCAGGATTTTGCCAGGTACTCCAAAGAGTTGAGTCTCCTCAGGACTATAATAAATATCTCTCTCATGTCAGACCTTCAGGATTTTGCCAGGTACTCCAAAGAGCTGAGTCTCCTCACGACTGTAATAAACATCTCTGTCTCATGTCAGACCCTAAGGTTTTTGCCAGGTACTCCAAAGAGCTGAGTCTCCTCAGGACTATACTAAAAACTCCACACTAACCCTGAAATAACTTAAATAAAAGTAAAACAAAAAAGAACAGGTGAATGAAAGATGAGCAGCAGGTGAACGCTCACCCCAAGCAAACAAGCATCGCTTGACCAGGTAGTATCCTTCATACTTGGAGAAGACGGTCACCAGGGCGTGGTACATTTCAATGGCCTCCACCAGCATCCACATGAAGGCCGCCAGGATAAAATAGTGCAGCAAGATGGCCACAATAACACAACCAACATCACTGAAATAGAAGGATACAACATCAGATAAAATAGTGCAGCAAGATGGCCACAATAACACAACCAACATCACTGAAATAGAAGAATACAACATCAGATAAAATAGTGCAGCAAGATGGCCACAATAACACAACCAACATCACTGCAATAGAAGAATACAACATCAGATAAAATAGTGCAGCAAGATGGCCACAATAACACAGCCAACATCACTGAAATAGAAGGATACAACATCAGATAAAATAGTGCAGCAAGATGGCCACAATAACACAGCCAACATCACTGAAATAGAAGGATACAACATCAGATAAAATAGTGCAGCAAGATGGCCACAATAACACAGCCAACATCACTGAAATAGAAGGATACAACATCAGATAAAATAGTGCAGCAAGATGGCCACAATAACACAACCAACATCACTGAAATAGAAGAATACAACATCAGATAAAATAGTGCAGCAAGATGGCCACAATAACACAGCCAACATCACTGAAATATAAGGATACAACATAAGATGATGTATTTCATTATACTGATGGTGCTTAAAATATCAGCTGGCTCAGTTATAATAGCTACATATAGATCTAGTGCAAGGTGTAGAAGTATACGCCATATACATGAGTATAGGACAAATGTACTACAACCAAAGTAAGGACATGTGTGCTTCACACACAAAATATAAAAAATTGTGTCCTACTAATTTAAGATATGTCCTACACATAAAGTAATAACATTAGTCATACAAAAAAAAAGAACATGTGCCCTCAAACAAATAAAGAACATGTGCCTCACTCACAGATGTGCCCTGATACAAGGAAAGAACAAGTGCCCTCACATAAAGGACATGTGCCCTCAGACAAAGAAAAACATGTGCCCTCACACAAATAAAGAACAAGTGCCCTTACATAAAGAAAAAACATGTGCCCTCAAATAAAGAACAAGTGCCCCCACACAAAGATAGAACATGTGCCCTACTCACCTGTATTGGGACACATCAACAGAGCCAACCAGAAAGATGATGTTGAGAATCAGAAGAGAAACACCCAGCTGGATCAAGATCTTGCCAGACTTGTCATTGTTGAGACACCTAAAATTGAATCAAAATAAGTTTTTAAACTGCTGGGACTGAATAGTACAAGTACACCCATAGGGAATGCCAGTTTAAAATTTTAGTTAACTTCATGAGAAAAAAAAAGCTTACATATTTTTTAAAATATTAATTTAAATTTTCCCACATATAATCACATTGACTGACCTGAATAAAGAATATGTTAACACAGTAACAGCCAAACATGCCATAGATATGGCACAGCCTATGTACGTTATGTACGTGAGTGCATCTTCATGTTCCTTGGATAATTTATAATCCGGGGAAACATCCTGATGATAAAGACAAGTTATATGTTATAACTTCATTACTTGTATTGTGAATATGTTTATATTTGTAAGTCCATATTTATGAATTTATATCTATATATATATATATATATATATATATATATATATATATATATATATATATATATATATATATATATATATATATATATATATATATATATATATATATATATATATATATATATATGTGTGTTTGTGTCAATTGTAAATTGATTTTAATTTACCAATTTAAAATTTTTTTTAACCCTTAATATTCTAACTTTTAAAAGCTATAATTCTCTGTTTGCTTATACAAAACTGCAACAAAGACAGTACAACACTGTTTTACTGACCAAAAGCACAGCAAAACTTGTCAAATGTGTGGAATAGCAAGTCACGTAGCCAAATTCATCTTCTTCCATTTTAATGCCTTCAGTTGACCAATTTGACACTTTAAAAGAAACAAAAATAAGATCATTTTTAATGTATACGCAAAAAAAAATGAATGAGAACAAAGAAGTTAAATTTTGAATATCAGCTTCTACCTTAAAGTTAAACCACACAAGTTACAGGATTAGCTTTGATACTCTGAATGTAAAATATATGTTCTTATAATATTTTGAAAATTAGAGAATTTTCATAAAATCTAACTTAAAGTAAGCAATAAATGTTACCTTAAGTGTAGAAAATAAAAATTAAATTAAAAGTGGCCATTTAATGTTAAATTAGAGATGACAATGAACATCAAATAACTTGTGAGCATTTAATGTAAACTTTGAGGTGAGCAGTGAAGTGTAAGACTTACATGCAGTATCCCAGTAGACACAGGTATGGTTGACACCTGCCTGAAGACAAAAGGTAAAAAAAAACTAATTTACCAACATAATTTAAAAAAATAAAATTTAAAAAATTTAAATAACAGAAATTAGTATAGGTGTAGAGATTATTTGATTATATAGCCATGGCATATCAAGAGGTTGTGTGGCCAATTAAATGCCAGCTTACATTCACTCTTCTCTACTAACATCAGGCACTAATCAGGTTTATAACACTGTCCACTACTTCAAGGCCTACCTGAATTTTTGGTAGCTGTATAACTACAGGCTCTGTTAAATTCTCCAGTGCTCTCCCTTTGACCACAGCTGAGATAACTCTCTGCTGGTTCAGTATCATCCCAGCCTTCTGGCCATAGGGTTCGAACCCATCCACAGGCACAAACAGCTGGGATCTCCTGTAGGCCACAAACTGGACCCTGGAACTGTTTAGCTCACCCGTGTCATTGAGGAGATGCATTGGCAGGGTTATGCTCACGTTGTACTAAAAGATAAAAAAAATGTACAATTTTTTAAATTTTTATTAAATCTAGCAATTTTCAAACTAGTTGCAAAATCTTAGTACCTCCCCACCTCTCACCTTACTCACCCCATATATGCATATACATACATACGTATATTCATAAATTATATATATACACATACACACATATATACATATATAAACTCACACACATATGCTCACACACAAACCCAGGTGTACACACACACATATATGCTCACACAAACCCACATGTACACACACACATACACTCACACACAAACCTAGATGTACACACACACACACACATACACTCACACACAAACCTAGATGTACACACACACACATACACTCACACACAAACCTAGATGTACACACACCCACACATATGCTCTCACACAAACCCAGATGTACACACACATATGCTCACACACAAACCCAGATGTACACACACACATATGCTCACACACAAACCCAGATGTACACACACACACACACATACACACACAATCCCAGATGTACACACACACACATACACTCACACACAAACCCAGATGTACACACACATATGCTCACACACAAACCCAGATGTACACACACACACACACATACACACACAATCCCAGATGTACACACACACACATACACTCACACACAATCCCAGATGTACACACACACACACACAAACCCAGATGTACACACACAGACTGACCATTGTGTTCTTGTCACTGTTGTTCATGCTAGTCTGAAAGGTGTAGTTTGAGCTGCCCGCCACTTTGTCAAACATGACTGCCTTGATGTTCAAGTCATTCGTAGAGATCTTGACTTCCCCAGTCACACTGATGTTGACTTCTGAGGTGTAGTCGTCGATGAATGCACGTAACCTGTGGTACAATAAGGTAGGGGCTTCAGGTAAGTGAACAAACAACATGCTGGGTAATAAAATGACTTAGGTACACTTTGTCAAATATCAACACACCTTTAGTGCACAACGACAATCAACAACACAATCAGCAAACACAACTTTGGTGCACTATATAAAAAAATACATGTCAACAAATAACACATCTACGATGCAACACATCTTTTAAACAACACAATGTTGTGCACCAAGTCTATTCACACATTAAACAATAATAAACAACATGATACAAATATCACATATATGTTACACAGCCGTATACATTCAGATGTAACTAAACCCTGGGTAACCACAACCTTAAACCCTCCAATGTAACTAAACCCTGGGTAACCACAACCTTAAACCCTCAGATGTAACTAAACCCTGGATAACCACAACCTAAAACCCTCAGATGTAACTAAACCCTGGATAACCACAACATAAAACCCTGCGATATAACTAAACCCTGGATAACCACAACCTTAAACCCTCCAATGTAACTAAACCCTGGGTAACCACAACCTTAAACCCTCCAATGTAACTAAACCCTGGGTAACCACAACCTTAAACCCTCCAATGTAACTAAACCCTGGGTAACCACAACCTTAAACCCTCCAATGTAACTAAACCCTGGGTAACCACAACCTTAAACCCTCCAATGTAACTAAACCCTGGGTAACCACAACCTTAAACCCTCCAATGTAACTAAACCCTGGGTAACCACAACCTTAAACCCTCCAATGTAACTAAACCCTGGATAAACCACAACATAAAACAAGCACAGATCTGCTAACCTGGTGTTTGTGCTGTTCTCCATCTCTGCAGCATAACTCACAGACAAGTTGACTCTCCCTAAGTTGCCAATCACATTCATGGCAATCCTAGCATACTGCAGAGTAGAAGGGAAATTTAACTGCTATAAAGACTGGGAGAAAAAAATAAACACTATGCCTATTTCAAATTAGCATGTGGGAACAGTATCACTTTATTCTTAAAAAAAAACCTGCATGAAGACACGTCTACAACTTTTGTGTGATGATTAAAAAATAAAAGTAAAGTCCCATTTACAGGGGAAGTAGGGTTCATGTGTTTCAGTAACCTCAACGTATTAAGGGATAGTGCGGTCAGCACTATGCCCAGCTGCCTATACTTTCCCTAATGTGAGTCAGACCTGGCTGTACTCTGTCTTATGGACTTAAACTTGTGACTTTTCTTGTTAGCGTTCACATGCTCTACCATTCAACCACCCCATCACATATAATGACTAAGTCTAGACTACATTTTATCGTAACAGTCAGCTGATCCTAGTAAAAAATTATATTAAGACTGGTCAACACAATTAGCTGATATTATCCCGAAGTTGTAAAAAACATATTTTGTTAACTAACCTGCACTCTAGTGAGTGTGTCGTTGTACAGATGCATCAGCTGGTCAGTGTAGTTTACAACCTGCTGGACGGTCAGTCTTGCAGGATCAGAAGTTTGGTCCAGAAGGTCATTGAGTTTCTGACCAGCATTCTCTTCTTCTCCAACTAAAAAAATATATTTATAAAAATTGTTGTCTACAAGAAGTAAGAAAAAAACTTTGCATTTTTTTATATCAACATCTATTAAATCTTTCAACTTTATATTTGAATGTAAGAAAAGAATTCTTAACACAACTAAAATTTTAAATATTTGACTAAAACTGACTACTACTTAGATATGTTTAGGCTAGACAAGTTACTTAGGGACAGTGAATAGAATATTACAAGTTGTGTGATAGTTTATAAGGGAATATTTGTGACATTTGTAGTTTTGTTGAATTAAGATTAGATCAACTTGGAAAAATAAATGTGGCACTCATATCTTTATAACGTATGCATCAACAATATCTAAATACTAAAATATAGAAAATATAATCAGCTTTTATAATGACAAACTTATGCACTAAAAACAAGAAGATAAACATGAATTATCTTTAACTTAAGTTAAAAAAAAAGCATTCATGACACCCTACATTTTTTCAATGCATTTTGTAACCAATGCTTATTTTTTTTTAATTATAGATTAAGAATATTTTTGTTTGTTTCCTTATTTTCTTGCATTTTAAAGCTCGTTTTTTAATGTTTTATATTATTATTTTATTTTTGGAAGTTCATAATATAAGTATTTACAAAATATATATTCAAAAATAAAAAGAACATAACATAAACAAAAAATAGAATACCGAAACAAAATAGAAAGCGACATACATTTGACATTATTATGTATCACTACCTTGTTTTATTACACACTTGAAGTTATGAATATACATGTAAAACAATGTATTAAATTCTCTAAGATCGACATTTAAAAAATCTTACTACCATGTGGGCACTGTAGATGCTGGTCAACACAAATACAGTCTGCCATGTCGTTGTTACAAGGCACCTCCTGCTCACATCTGTCCCCCCTCCAATCCCTGGGACAGTCACACTTGACATCTGTGGCGGACGTGTTGCGACATTTGCCTCCGTTCTGGCACTGGACAGTGAAGCAGGGGTCAAACACTGAGCAGTCTTTTAGGTTGTAGCCAGGGTAACAGTGGCAGAGGAATTTATCAGGGGGGATGCGGGTGCACTCACCATTATTGTTGCATGCCTGGGTATGCAGAAGATTGGGATTTTTCTTGCAATTTTTTTCAATAATAATAATAAGAAGAAGAACATATAAAACAAAATAAAATAAATAATGTAAAAAATCTAACTAATAACATATCATTAAAAGTTCAATAATAAGGAAGTCCAGTAGGTTGCAATGAAACTATTAAAACATTCACCACTATGTAACTGAAAAAAATACAACACAAATTCCCTATGTAACTGAAATTATTAAAGCACAAACCCCTATGTAACTGAAACTATTAAAGCAAATGTTTTATTTGATGGAATCATTAAAACATTCACCCCTATGTAAGTGAGACTATTAAAACATTCGCCCCTATGTAACTGAGAATATTAAAACATTCACCCCAATGTAACTGAAACTATTAAAACATTCACCCCAATGTAACTGAAACTATTAAACCATTCACCCCAATGTAACTGAAACTATTAAAACATTCACCCCTATGTAACTGAAACTATTAAACCATTCACCTCAATGTAACTGAAACTATTAAAACATTCACCCCTATGTAACTGAAACTATTAAAACATTCACCCCAATGTAACTGAAACTATTAAAACATTCACCCCAATGTAACTGAAACTATTAAAACATTCACCCCTATGTAACTGAAACTATTAAAACATTCACCCCAATGTAACTGAAACTATTAAAACATTCACCCCAATGTAACTGAAACTATTAAAACATTCACCCCAATGTAACTGAAACTATTAAAACATTCACCCCTATGTAACTGAAACTATTAAAACATTCACCCCTATGTAACTGAAACTATTAAAACATTCACCCCAATGTAACTGAAACTATTAAAACATTCACCCCAATGTAACTGAAACTATTAAAACATTCACCCCAATGTAACTGAAACTATTAAAACATTCACCCCTATGTAACTGAAACTATTAAAACATTCGCCCCTATGTAACTGAAACTATTAAACCATTCACCCCAATGTAACTGAAACTATTAAAACATTCACCCCAATGTAACTGAAACTATTAAAACATTCACCCCAATGTAACTGAAACTATTAAAACATTCACCCCTATGTAACTGAAACTATTAAAACATTCACCCCTATGTAACTGAAACTATTAAAACATTCACCCCAATGTAACTGAAACTATTAAAACATTCACCCCTATGTAACTGAAACTATTAAAACATTCACCCCAATGTAACTGAAACTATTAAAATATTCAACCCTATGTAACTGAAACAATTAAAGCACAAACCACTATGTAACTTACACCATGGAAGCACAAATCTTCAAGCTGACACCTCTCCCCATACCAGCCGTCATAACAATCACAGGTGTATTTAACTCTGTACATGTCAGTTGTGTTGTCATCACCACTGTTACATTGGCCATTTAAACCGCAAGGTAAGGTGAGGCATATATCAAAGGCTTCACAGTTTTTACCATGGTAGCCACTGTGACAATTACATCTGCAGGGGAAATAACTCAAATATTATAGACATTTACCTTTTAACATTCTTTACTTAACATTTAAAAAAAAAAGTTTCTTCTTTTTTTTAAAAATTATATTTTAAAAGTATTTGCTTTTTTATCAAAGTATTTTTTAGCTAAAAGTTTCATACTGTCATTATGCTTTTTTCATCTCAAGCTTCTAATTAAACAAATTTTCTTCAGTGAGTTAACTCCCATATCTCTTTTTATACATCCTTCAATTATTTTTAACAAAGCAGCACCAACAATAAAATAAAGATCAAAATAGAAATCGCATACATTAATTTTTAGCGTTTTTGAACCTTTAAACTGATAAGACATACATTGAAGTTATTGTTAGTCAAGTCATGCTTACTTGAATGATTTCTCCAAAGGATTGCAAGTACCATTGCCACAGTTCACATTGTAGCAGTAGTTGGTATACTGGCACTCATTGCCGGAGTTCTGAGGCGGGCAGCCGCACCTGAAGGAGCCGTTTGTAGGTGAGGTCACACAGGTGCCATTGTTTCTACAGGGAGACGTCTGGCAGGGGTCACGTAGTGCACAGTTCTGACCTGTCCGGCCAGGTGGACACTGTAACAGGATAACAGCATTTGTCAGAAACTCACCCTAAAAAGGTAGTTAATTTAGTCAGATTTCCATACATTATATGTTAATCTATATCATATACATATACATATATATATATATATATATATATATATATATATATATATATATATATATATATATATATATATATATATATATATATATATATATATATAACGTATTTTTATTAAACATTACAAATTCTGAACCAATACAGATTTATTTATAGTGATGTTACAACAACAACAAAGAAAAGAAACCCCCAGCAACTCACCACACATGAGTATGTGTTGTTCTGTGGTAGACAGGTACCAAAGTACTGACAAGGCTGGGTACTGCATGCATCTATAAACTCACAAAGGTTCCCATAGAAACCATCAAAACAATCACAGTGGAATGCTGTATCATTCAACCTTTCACATACCCCTTGGTCCTTCTTGCAAGGTGAAGGTGAGCAGGGGTCCTTGACCTAGTGATAAATACATACCAAAGAAAAAGGTCAAGGTAGATGTTTGAAACAGTTCAAAATCAAAGATAGATTAGACTTGTACAGTCTATCATGTCTACTGATAAATTAAAATTAGTTTGGGATATGAAAGGGAGATAACTGATGCAGGTAAGGTTAGGGGCGGTTTTTGCTGACCACAGAGGCTTCACTCAATGGTCACAAAAGACCACCGTGTTATCCAACTAAACATGGCCAGTGTTTTAGGATTTGAATATTTTGATATTTCAGCCAGGTGGGTGTCTAGGAATCTCATTAACTAGTTACTGAAGTTTTTCTACTGGTGTTTAGTTTCTTCATTTCAATTGTTTTAGAAGAATAGGACAAAGAGCATTAAATCTAATTTTTATAAGACAGTATACATAGTTATCTCTACAAAACATGATTCCCCCTTTTTCACTGTTAAATCTCAAGCATATTTTAAATGTTTTAAGTTTGTAAATGTACAATTACATCTGTGTTTTTTCAAAACAAGATTTTTTTTGGTGCTAAATTCAGCTAAATCTATAATATACTTTAAAATTATTTAAAAAAAAAAATTGTCCTTAACACTTAAAATTACACATTTTAGTTTTAAAAAAAAAAAACAACTGTTTACTAATTATTTTTTTAAACCAGTGTTTTTTTTCCATTTAAAAAAGGAACAGAAAAATATTTTTTAAAAACTTGTTTCATTAAAATTTAGACAATTTTTTTTACTAACCTCACACTTTTGCCCAGAGTAACCATCAGCACAAGCACATGTGTAAGCCCCATTATCAAGTGCCCTACAGCTTCCTCCATTTTGACAAGGCAAGCTCAGACACTCATTGTAGAACTGGCATCTATGGCCATAAAAAGTATCCCCACAGATGCAGTTGAACTCGTTATGCTTTAGAAAATTACACCTGTGTGAATGATGAAAAGCTACTTTGAATACCAGAAAAGAAACAACAATTTATAAATTAAAAATATTTTTTTTTTTGCTTGGGTGTATATTATTTACATAAGAAACAATAAATTAATTTAAATTAACTTATTTTGTCTGATTGTATAGCATATGGATAAGATCATGAATTATTTGTTAATTAATTCATGTATACTAATGATAATTGCTATTTCATTTAGAATTTATATTGAGATAGCAGAATGTGTAAAAATAATTTAATAACGAAATTTGAACAGAGTGCAGGATACCTAATACAGTGATAAATGTTGCTTTGATTTCCATTTATTTGATGATTCAGTAAATCTTGTATTTGACAAAAGCAGAAATTTATAATTATTAACTCCAGATTTTAAAAAAAATTCAGATTTTTAAATACTTACACTCCGCCATTTTCACAAGGTGAATATTCACAATAGTTTTGCACAGTACAGTTTTCACCCATCCAACCTGTGTTACAGGAGCAGGTGTAATCAACAACGGAGTCACCTGGATGGCAGTCACCATTGCTGTTACATGGGTTTTTGTAGTTGCACACCGCAAAGTTCTCTTCCACGCACTGCTGCGCATACCCTGTGTAAGACATCGGTCTTTTATAATTAACAACCCCACTACATCTAAAGACAGGGGCAAGTAAAAAATAATTGAAATAACTTTGTCATGCTACTAGTAAGTAGATTGTACATTAATGCTTAGACTTTAGACTTAGAGTATAACTAGATCAATGGAATTTATCTTATTTATAATATTAAGAAGTAGGACCTTACTTTAAAATATAATGCATAATTTAGAATAACTTTTACAGTATATACAGTACGAGCCGACCCGCGGTGTATCATACGCCGCTATTTAGTTGTTTTTTCTACTTTTCAGTAATTCATAATACCAATGCTGCCACTGAAAATATTTGCTTTAAAACACTAACCCCCCCCCCCCCCCCCGTGAAAGCAGCCTCCTCTTAGTTACCTCCTCTAAGCTTAAAATAGTTTCAAACTGAATTATCTGCCCCTAATAGCCGTCACTAAACTAAACATTTTGTGTGAACTACAACTCACCTGACCATGTGAGGGGGAGGGGGTGGGGGGGGTGGTGATAGAGAGGAAGAGAGGGGACTGCAAGGCGCGCGCTTGCAGCTTGTTTTCTAACGGCTCCCAGAAGAGAATTATATATATAGATATAGTATAGAGTACTATTAATGTTATTTGTATCTTATAATACTTATAAGTTATATACTTTATTTTTCTTCAGTAATCGTGCTCTAAATGACTCTAAATTTATTTTCTTATTATAGAGACAGAGATACTACTTGCTGGTCATTACTTGTTTATTTTATTATATTTCATTAGTTAGATAAGTGGGTTTTTTATTTTTTATTTTTTAATAATTTAATATAATTTAAATATAATGTGGCAAAATTATCTGCAATGGCTTTTATTATTTTAATGAATTTTTAAAAAAAGACTATTCAAAAGTTTAAAGTATTCTTGACTAAAAACTAATGAAAAGAAAAACACAACATTTTATATTTTCTATTCAACCAATTGTTAGGCTGCTAGAGTAGAGGGATAGATTCTAATTCTTAATTTTAAAAATTTTTAAATTTAAATTAATTTTATGCCTATTTTATTTTAACCGAATCCACTTTAACAAAATGATTCGGGTATACTATTACTGTATGACTGATTCAATTACTTATATACTATATACTTAGAATTTAGATAGATTCTAGATCTAGGTAAAACTCCATTTTAGGTATTTTATTCCCAGCTTCACGTTCACCTCCAGTTGAGCGTATTTTATTATAAACACATTCATCAAAAAAGTAGATCTATATCTAAATTAGGTAAAACCTTAGTTTAGCGTCGGAAATTATCGGGTAATGTTTGTTGAGTTTCGGTAACTACATTTACGGTAAACCATATATCATCTAGATCAGGGGTCTCCAAACTATGGCCCGCGGGCCGCATGCGGCCCGCGAAGTCCTCTCATCCGGCCCGCGGAGATCTTTTTGTCCAAGGAAAAATCGTTAGTTGGTGATGGCTGAGGCACTTTGCCCAGAAAAATCAAAGACATGCCTGGAAGAAACTGGGCCCCGAACTGAAATTTTATAGTTAATGCGGCCCTCGGACTGAAAAGTTTGGAGACCCCTGATCTAGATTTAGCTCACTCTAACTAGATCTATAACTATATTTATGTGTTTTTCTAACGTGTTTGTGAGTGTGTTTTGGACAGTTTTGGTCTTTGCCGGTCTTTGGTTGTGTTGATAATAAAATACGCTCAACCGGAGTTGAATGTGAAGCGGCGAATAAAATACGCTAAAATGGAGTTTTACCTAGTTCCTATCTATTTGTTTAATTGAAAGATCATGGTTGCATTTCTTTTCAATTTTGAAATAATTAATAATTAATGTAAACAATATTTCACTTTCTTGTAAAACCATTTGCAAAAACAATGACCCGTAGGGTAAAGTCTAGCAGTAAAAAAAAACACTCACCCACTGCAGTCTTGTTAAAAAGCAGATCGAATTCTTCACCGGACCAATAATCATTAGAAATGACAGTGATACGAAACACGTACTGACTGCGCAACGTCGAGTTCATAACTGTGTAGCATGTCTCAGAGTGACCGTCCAAAGATGGGAGGCTTTCGTTCCTAGTGAATTTATTTTTTATTATTAATTACAACAACAAAATATTAAGAAAAAAAAACTGAATCTTTAAAACTATAATATATGAAGAATTTTGGGTCGTCCATACATGACTTGACACTTGTAGGGGGAGGCGGGTCGTAATTTTGTGACGCGGTGTGAATTGGGGGACCAGGGGGGGGGGGGGGGGGCGGGGCGGGGAATCATATAGTGTGACGTAACACTTTTGCATTTAAAAAAAACAAATGTAAAAACTGAATTCTAGCTGTTGTTCAGTAAATTGACATAAAAATTTTGGCTGGTGTGTCGTCATTTTTAGGGGGGGGGGGTTGAGGGGAAAAATGGCTTCTTGTGACGATGTGTGGGGGAGGGGGAAGGGGGGAATTTGTCCCAAAAAAGCGTGACATCGTCTATGGATGACCACTTTAAAGATCGTCGTTTTCATACTTAGAAGTGCTGACAATTTGCCTACTATGGGAGGAGAGGTTTTTGATTAAAAAAAGAGCTATAATTCAGTTAATGATAAAACAAAGCTAAATTATTACCTATGCAAATGTGTTTAGCGTTACTTATTTGATTTGTATACAGGCAAACAGATGAGTCAATTAAACAATAGGTTATAAAATAAAAGCTAAAATAAGCACATTGAAAATATTTTAAAATTCTATAAAAGTAAGACGAATTGCAACGCAGTGGTTCACATGTTCACAGTGGGGTAGCGAGGGGGGGGGGGGGGGTGTGGACCGCACCAGGTGACACCATTTAGGGGGTGAGACCAAGGCAAAAAATAGCAAAATATAAAGAGAAAAATGATAATTCCGCTTAATTAAGTGATTAATTCGAGTGTTAAATAGTTAAGAGCAAATTTGACAAATCTATCCCGACAGGGTGGAGGGGAGGGGTGCAAATCGAATGTTTGGGGGGATGGGGTGGAAATTGAAAGTTAGAGGGGGAGGGGGGCACTGGTCACACACACACACGCACGCACGTACACACACACACACACACACACACACAAACACTCGAGTTGGCCTGCTATCCAAAGGTGCCCAACATATATGCCTAAAATCAGACCGCCGCCCCCCCCCCCCACTCATTGATCTATGATGGAAGCAAATCCAGAAAGAAAATCAGGCTGAAATCAGAGTCAACTGCCTATATAGCGCATTGACAGGTTGACAGGCAAGGCTAGTACTTTATTGGTTTTTTTTTTTTTTAAGAAATCCCATCCAACATTATAATAAAGACAGAAAAAGACGACACACTCACTTTTCAACAGCACCTTTGACTTGAACCAAATAGCCGTTAACTTTAAATTCTGGCATCGGGTTTTTCCAGCAAACTGTTGTTGTCGTCTTCGTTGC